CGGACTCTCGACGCAAGGAGACAACAACGGGGCACGGGGCGAGCTTCAAGCGACACGAAAACCCCGTGCACTCTAAAAAAAGTTACAGAATTTTGTATCATTTTTGATGCAGGATTTTGTATCACCTGCATTGGTTACAAATATTTGTATAAGTGATATAGAATTTTGTAACAGATGTGCCGGTTACAGAAAAATGAATCATTTTGGACCTTGATACAGAAATTTGTAACATGAAGGTTACAATATTATATCTGTAACATAACTGATACAGAAAATTGTAACTGGATACTAAATTCTGTATCAGAGATAAAAACATAATGTTTTAACGGCAAAATTGAACAGCAGTGCCCATAGAGACAAGTTAAACTTAGAGTTTTCATGTGCTTTTATTTTTCCCGACTCTGAATAAGAGATTCAGTCTCGTGTATGCTTGGCTGGCAAGGCCTCCGTCCCTTACTACGCGCGTCTCAGGTCACCGGCTACCTGCGCCGCTCCCTCCACGGCGTCCGCACAGCGCAGTTGGTAGCGTAGCGGGCCGCCAACCCAGAGTTTGGGGTTCGATTCCCGACTTCTCAGAGTACATCTGGGAAAGTTGCTACTCGAAGAATGGCATAAGGACCTTCAATCAGACCCACGGAGACTACGTTCGAACAAAATTCTCATTTTGATGCTTGATTTGGAAGAATAACGACTGTTTACAAATTTCGGAACCGTTACGAAATTCTGTAACCAAGTTACAAAGAAAAAAATTGTATCCATCGTGATACAAATTTCTGTAACACATGTTATTGAAAAAGCTGCGTAACCATGTTACAAAATTCTGTACTGATTTTTTTTAGAGTGTGGACGAGCGGACGGGCAGACAGACAGACAGACGGATGGACAGTCAAGCACGCGCACAATGCATAGTATGCAGCGGGGCATCAAGGCTGGAGGGCGCGGGCCGAGGCAGGCGAGGCAGGCGAGGCGCCACACGGCGACAATGCACGCGCTGCGCTCATCTCTAATGGAACAGCGGCGAAGGGCTGCTGGGCGCCCCGCGGGGCCCGCAGGCTGATTCCAAACGTCGTCTCGTCTCTCTCGCACCCCCACGGGGCAGGCAGACCCGGCCACGAGTGCGAGAGAGAGAAGGGGCGGCCTGGGGGAGGCGAAGGGCCTCTCGCTGCAGTCGAGATCGCGGCGATGCTCACTGCGACGGCGGCGTTGTCCCTTCGGGTCCCTTCGGCCCTCCGCTGCCGAAAGGGCTCCGCCCGACAAGGGTGCGCTGTTGTTACCAGCCGTCGACGCACCTTCCACGAGTGCGAGAGAGACAGAGCTCTGCTGCCTGGGAGCGAGGCGTGAGGCGCGCGCCGCCGCGGCGACGCACCTCCGTCCTTGTTAGCGTCGCGGCGTCGCGGTGTCCGAGTGACCTGGAAGTGACAGCCGGTGACGCAACGCGCGGGCGGACGCGCTGACGGACGCACGGGCGGCACGCACCGGCGCGACGCGGGGCCGGGCGCCCGGGCAGCAGATGGACACAGCCAGACACCGCGCAGCATGGCGCAGCATCGAGCCCTGCTGCCCTGTGAGCGAACTGATTTCGAAAGTCGTTTTCGTCGCTCTGTCTCTCTCGCACCTCAGGGGTACACCCCAGGAGTGTGAGAGAGGCAGAGAGACGAAAACGACTCTCGGAATCAGTCTGCTGGCGTCGTCATTGACTCGGAATGGGGACGGCTTATCTATCAAAACAGGAGTGTGGCCGGCGGCGGGTGCGTGCCTGCAGGCTCACTTCGAACAGTGCTTTGTCGACCCCTACGGGACGCCGTGCGAGTGCGAGAGAGACGGGCGACAGCACAGGCCGCGTGACGGTCCGCGTGACGGTCCGCGTGACGGTCCGCGTGACGGTCCGCGTGACGGTCCGCGTGACGGTCCGCGTGACGGGCACCGTGACGGGCACCGTGACGGGCCGCGTGTCCACCTTCACGCGCGTGTTGTCGTGAAGCCGGAAGCCGGATGAAGCATGGGAACGCCGAGGGGAAGCGCCGCGGCTACGCCACTGGCCGGAAGAGGGGGAGGGGTAGGAAGGGGGCACGCGAGGCGGCGGGGCGGCGGGGGCGTGCGCGTGACGTCACGGGGCGTGTGCCGTGCGGTGCACTGTGCGGTGCCGTGCGCGCCCAACCGCGGCTGACTAATGCGGGCCAGGCCATCATGGCCGGGCGGACACCGCCGTGCTGGCCGTGCTGGCCGCGCTGCGTCAGCGGGACAGTTTGGCCAGCCCGGCCAGCCCGGCCATCCGCACGGCACCGCCCACGCCGCCAGAGCCATTCAAAATTCAATCCGGTTCGCGGGGCGACCGCCGCACGCCGCCCGCCGCACTCGCGGCCTCGTGGCGGCCCGGGCCGGGGGTGGCGCGCTGGGGTGCGGCGGGGGTGCGGCGGAAAGGGTTGCTAATGGGCGGCCGCCCCGCCCCTACAGGCTGTTCCGCAAATATGGCATCAACACGGAGTGACTAACGCCTCTCGGCTCGTTCAAGACCCAGAGCACCCGGTGCACGGACCAACGCACGCAACCTGCAACCCCTGTGCTCGACCCCGTACCGGCCGTGCCTGCGGCGGGTGGGCTGGGCCGAGCACGCGTGCCCCGCGAGACCTGCAGACCTGCTCACAGTGGGCCAGAAGACCGGCGCGGGCGGCCAAAACTCTAGACGCGTTTTGAGCTCCAGAGACGCTGAACAGGACTCAAACCAAACGTGTGACCTCACCAATGAATTCCTCGTTCGAAGAGCAGTTCATTGGTGGGGTCACACGTTCGGTTTGAGTCCTATTTAGCGACTCTGGAGCTCAAAACGCGTCCAGAATTTTGGCCGCCTCCACCGTCTTCTGGCCCACTGCACTGTACTGCAGGGCGGCAGCCTGCGGGCCTGGTGGCCTCGAGGCGCTCGTCACAGCGCTGCACAAGCAGTGTCCCACACGGCACGGCCGCCACCAGGATTACACTGGCCTTACTCCCGTAAAAATTATCTCTACCTTTGAGTCGTAAACTAGTACACGACAGCCGGAGTGCGCTGTCGCCGTGAGCTGTGAAATACGCCTAAAACAAGTCCTAAGCTTTCCAAAGTACATATGCTCAAAGTATGACAGATTCCGACCGGAGGATTAGAAACCTTTCCGCGTGTTTACGATCGAGTGAGGCCCAAAACGGCGGTACTGCGCGCACCGACAAGAGTGGCGCCTTGGATCGCCGTCGCGCACAAACTCGAGTGCTATCGTCGAGTACTTGGGTCCGCAGAGTGGCGCGGGGAGGGGGCAGGAGTCCCGGCAGGAGACAGTAACGACTGGGAGACCGGCGGGGCGTAGGGCCGACCCGCTTTCACGAATCGCCCTGCGGACTGTCGCTCTGTCTCTCTCGCACCTACGCGGGACGGGAGGCCCCATGAGTGCGAGAAGGACGGGGCGACGGAAGGGACTCTCGGAATCAATCTGGGCAGGCCCGGCGGCACACTGTGCGGCAGCCAGCACCAAAACGCGCCCAGACTCGCGTGGTGCCCCGGCCGGGCCCGGCCGTGCCGCCGCGCTACGTGCGCGACGTGCGCGACGTGAGCACGACGGAGCGCGGCGTGCGGGACACTGCGTGCGGGACACTGCGTGCGGGACGGGGCCCGGCAAACTCGTCAGTACGTCAAGCACATGGGGTGGAAAATGGGCCGGGTCCGCGTGCAGGCCGCGCAGGCACTGTAAGCAGCGGCCATAAAGAGGGACTGGTTGGGGTCGCCGCGGCGCGCGACTCGCGTTCCCTCCTGCCGAGCGATTCCGAAAAATGGTTACGTCGCTCTGACTCTCGCAGCCCTGCCGGACGCCCCGACAGGAACAGCGACCAAACGCTCATTCCGAGAGTCGTCTTCGTCGCTTTGTCTCCGTCGCACTCACGGGGCATCCCGATCAAGTGCGAGAGAAACAGAGCGATGAAAACGACTCTCGGCATCAGTCTTCAGGTCCACGGGATTATGGCGGCGACCAGCGCTCTCGCACTGCTCGACGGCGGCGCGGCGCCGCAGCGGCCCGCAGCGACACGCTATGCAAATGAGGGGCTAATCAGGCCGGCCTGTCTCCGTCGCCCTCGCACCGCTCCGGAACGCCCCGTGAGTGCGAGAGGGACAGAGCGGCGAAACCACCGTCCGGAGTCGGCCGGCTGGTGCATCGGTGCATCCTCGACGGCCGACCCGTCCCGGCCGTCCAGTCCCGGCCGTCCAGTCCGCCCCAATGCCGCTCCCCCTCCCCCCTTCTCGCCAAGCGGCCTGCCGGCCTGTCCGTCCGGTTAGGGGATGGTGCCCAATGGTGCTGATACCATCAGCAAAGCCGGGAAGGGTGATGCGTTGCACTGCGTTGCACTCAGGGCGGGGATGGAGGCTGGAGGCGGGAGACTTGACGACGCAGCCACATGCACAGGCTGCTGGAGGCTTCGAGGAGCAGCCTCATCACCCACCAAGTACCCCCGCCCCTTTCCCAGCCTGCATCCAAAAGAGGAGCCGAAAAAAAAGGGCGTTTTGAGCCGGAAAAAAATACTCCGTCAGCAAAGGAGTTGGCAAAGAGAAAAATTTTAAAAGATGACTAGGCTCTTGTAAAATTATTCCAGTGACGTCTTTCTTTTTTCCCGCGCGCCTTGAGCACTGAGCAGGGCCGAGCAGGGCCGAGCAGGGGGCACGGTCGTGCCGCCCTCGGTGCAGCCAGCATCAAAGGGCTTATCTGCTGGGAGCGACGCGGCGTGGCGTGGCGTGGCGTGGCGCAGCGGACGAGGCTTCGTGACTTGAGGCTCATACTACACCAGCAACAAAGTCATACAGCCCTTTGCTTCCTAGTCCTGGCATCAAAATCTCCCACGGCAATTCTTTTCCATTCACTTGGCTGTGCTCTCCGGCATTTATACACCAGGGAATGGATCATACGACTAAAGAGAGTGCTGATACACCACACTTAACTGAAACGTCGACAAGGTTCAAATTTAAATGACGGAAAGTAACTTACCATATCTTCTGCTTCCTCGTCATCAAGCACATGCGCATCGTCTTCTGTCTTCTCCAGGAGCTGGGCCTGCACCAGGCCAACTCGACGGTTGGAGTCAAGTGAGCGCACAGCCCACCAGAGCTCCCACTCCTTGCTCAGAACCTAATCCGCAACAGACAGAGTGCATCATTAAAATTCATGTTAATTCATTCATTCACACAGCAGTATCAGCAGGGCAATAACAGCTTTGTGGGAAGAAATATAGCAAAGTAATAAAAATGGGTTGAATTTTAAAAGGCCAAACGCAAAAAAGTAATTGGCATCAACTCAGTTAAGTATTCATTATTGCTCCAATTTAAGTTAAAACGTAGAAAAGCTGACAAAGAATGAATAAAGGTGTCAGGATGTGTTTAACCTAAAAGACCGGGCCCGTCCGACCCTGCTACACCTCTAGGACGCCAACATTCGCTACATCATTTCAATGAATAATTCAAGGCAGATTCATAAAGGCCGAACTTGTAGGGAAATCACACGCGGGCAGCTACCTTTTCACATACAACACACGAGAAATACAGTAGCGACACGTCCTCTCGGCCCCTTGCACTGCACCTGCGCTTTGTTTACAAATACAAAGCGACCACTGCCGCCAACAAGCAATCCATTGGAAACGACATTCAACGATTACAAGACATTGCAATGTTCGTTAAAATACCCGATGATTATTTACTTTACATAACTCTCATTTTCCTCTTAAAGTTGGCACATGAGATCGTAAACGCAAACATTTCTTTGTCTCGCATCGACGGGATATAGCGGGGTAAGGTTGGCAGCAGACCTGGAGTATGGACGGACACGGAGAGGGGAATACCCAGCGCGAGCAGAGACTCTAGCCTATACCCCGTAGCGTGGTTTTACTTCTCAAATCTTTGAGCTGGACCGAAAAGAGTAGTCAGACAATCGAATTAATTCATTTCCTGAGGCTTCCTAGATTGGCGGCAAACTCACCCACGAAGCAGCAGGGCTGCCACAAAGACGCCCCAGTACGAGACATACCGTTGTGCCTGGTCCCGGTCCCTTTGTCCCGAGGCCGAGGCACTGCCCGTTTCGACTGCTCTAGTCGTTGCCTCGGCGCTACTTGTCCTCAAAGGCACGTCAAGAAGTGCCAGCTTTGACCTCCGCGGGGTCATTCCCCCCCCCCCTCCCGCCCCTCTCGCCCGGCCGAGTGGCGCAGGAGCGCACCACACTGGCGGCAGGCGGCGCGGCAGAGGGAAGTACACGTGTACAGTGTACAGGAGTGGGACGTGGAACTACACGCGGCAAGAGTGCTCGCTTCAAAGTGCTCTCCCTTGTCCGCCCCTCCCCTACGCGCAGAATGCCAGGGCGGCGTGGTCACTGCATGCCGAGGACGGTTTCTCTCTCCAACCGTTCACTTGAACATTCCATGGGAGTCTGGAACAGCCCCTGGAGGTCGTTGGAAACACCCACCCTGAACAAGTCGCCTTCCTTGAAGCCGAGGAACAGTTCCTTGAGGTCGTTGAGATCCTTGATGTCGTCCAGGTCTTTCTCGTTGACGTCGTCGCCGACCTCACTGAGGTCCTCGGTGGACTTGGAGGTCTTCTGCTCCTGGTTCGGCAGGTCCAGCAGCACCTTCACCCTCTCCTGCTTCTCGCTCGGCTTCTCGTCCTTCTTCTCCCTCTCCCCCTCCTGGCCCTCCTGGTCCTCGGGGTCCTCCTCCTTCTTGCCCTGCTGGTCGTTCTCCTTGTCGGCCAGCCTGCCAGGGGACTTGTCCTTCTTCCTGAGCACCGCCTTCGGCGACCCGGGCACCACCGCCGCGTTTCCACCCTCCTCGATGGTCTTGGCGCTCAGCTTGGTGAAGAACTGGATGTTCTGGTTCACCTTGTTGTTGAGGTTGAGCGCGTTGATGTTGGCGGAGCGCAGGAAGTTGGGCGAGGTGGGCACGGACTTGTGCTGCACGTCCTGGGTCGCCTTATCGGCGGGGCTGAGGGCGTACGGACTGAAGCCGCACTTGGCACGGTACAGCTCCGGCTTGGCCATGGTGCTCGACGGCGGCCGCGAACGGCAACCCCTTGCTGCTCGCCGAGATATCTCACCGCACAAGGGCCGACCTAACCTCCAGCGGCCGCCGGGCTGTGTTGCGCCGACCCGCTAGCGGGCACTCGTCCCACACCACGCCCTGGAAGCAGCCTGGAGCCCTGGGGAGGACGAGCACACCACTCTCGAGGACCACGCGACGCTGAGGCCTGAGGCGACGCCGCGGTCGACGGCTCAGAGGGCACGGGGGGCACCGGCTCCTTGCACTCGCTGGGGCGCGGGGCGCGGGGCGCGGGGGCCGACGGGGGGACGCGGCGAGGAGTGGCGAGGCGCAAGGGACGCAAGGGTAGCGCGCCCCTCGAGCGCCGTGAGTGGTAGCAGACTGCGGGCGGCGGAGCAGTGAGCACGGCGGAGACGCGAGACCAAAACAAACCGCGTGCGCCGCGCCACCCCCGCCCGCCCCGCCCCGCCCCGCCCCGCCCCGCCCGCCCGCCCCGCCCCGCCCGGCGCACCCCCGAGGCGCCGCGGGAGGGACGGCAGCAGCACGGCAGCAGGGTGCGCGGGTCGATATCACGGCGCCCCGCCCCGCCGCGCCCCTCCTCGCGACTCTCGGCTCCAGCGGCTCCAGCCGCTCTGACGTCATCAAGTCGCTCCCTTGCACGTGTTTGCCATCGCCGCCGTGCCCGCCATGCCCGCCGAGGCGAGGGCCGCAGGGCGCGGGGCGCAGTGGGTGTCAGTGTCTTTTGTCTGGGGGCCGGCCGTTGCTTGGAGGGGTTCTGATTGGAACGGCCCGGAGAGACGCTTGGAGGAAACAAACGCCGCCGGCATTGGCCGGGAGTCGATGCCGCGCCCTGGTTCAAATACTGCCTCTTCCAGGCTTTTTAAAAATATTCAATCAAAATATTTGTGCCAAAATTACAGCTTAAGCGTTTGAGAAATGGCGGGCCAAAACAGCGATACTTATTTCACGCTCAGCCCCGCCAAGCCGCATTAGGAGATTTTCCGGCCATCCACCCCAAATTGGCAAAGTGTTTCGCCCAGAGGGTAGATGAGTTTTCAAGCTCGTTTGGAATCAATTTAGCTCTGGCTGGTGTGGGGCCTCCAGGTGGGGGGTGCGCGGAGTGCCCGTCCCGGTCCCCCCGGCCCCCTAATTTCCTTCTCATCCCGTTCACTCCGTATCAGGCGCCTCAGTCCGAAGGATCAGTTCCTCGCCCCGTCTCTCTCGCGCCCCTCCGAAACGCCTCATGAGTGCGAGAAAGACAAAGCGACGAGACGATCCTTCGGAATGGAGCGGCTGGGGCGGCTGCAGCGCTCCAGCGGACCATCACTCGCCCCAATCAGAATCCAATCTCCGGTGGCCAAGTGCTGGCGCTCATCATCGAGGCAGGCGACCAGGTAACAGTGTACCGGCCGGGTCGTCACTCAACAACAAACAGTCTCGGGCCGCGCGGGCCCGCGTCAGCAAAGCGGCATAGCAGGCCGCGCCGCACACCGCACATGTAGCGTTCGATGGGTCTGCGGCTGGCGCTGCGGCTGCGGAGTGATTCCGTGAAGTCCTGCCGTCGCCTCGCGTCGCTCTGTCTCTGTCACACCCCTACGGAACGCCCCTACGGAACGCCCCTAGGGAACGCCCCTAGGGAACACCCCTACGGAACGCCCCTACGGAACACCCATACGGGACGCCCCTACGGAACGCCCCTACGGAACGCCCCTACGGAACGCCCCTACGGAACACCCCTACGGAACGCCCCTACGGAACGCCCCTACGGAACGCCCCTACGGAACGCCCCTACGGAACGCCCCTACGGAACACCCCTACGGAACGCCCCTACGGAACGCCCCTACGGAACGCCCCTACGGAACACCCCTACGGAACGCCCCTACGGAACGCCCCTACGGAACACCCCTACGGAACGCCCCTACGGAACGCCCCTACGGAACACCCCTACGGAACGCCCCTACGGAACGCCCCGGTGCGAGAAAGACAGCGACGGCAGGGTTGCCGACTCTGCGGCTGTCAGGCGCTGCGGGGTGCGGACTCCGGCCAAGTAGGACTTCCCTCTCTGGCCCCTGGGAGAAAAAAAGGGGGGGTATGAAAAGCAAAGGGAGGGGAGGCGCTGTGGTTGCCAAACTGCTCAGTTGTACGCACGGAACGGAAATCTAAATGGGACCAAATTGCAAACGAAACTCAAATCGTCATGCCATGCCATGCCAGGCTCTGGGACACGGATGCTGCATTGCAGGCATTGCAGGGATGCAGGCTGCAGGCCTGGCGCGGTGCACTACCAGTGCACTACCAGGCGCACCGCGCAGCAGCGTGGCTACAGCCAGGCCTGGGCCTGGCCTCACCCTCTACTCGCCTCGCCTTCGTCGCTCCAGCCTTGCCTTCCACCCCACTACGCCAACCCAGCCACGCTGCCACGCTCCGGCCCCACGTGCTGGCCAGGTCCAAGGCCACCGCAGCTGCTGCCCCCCGTTCAACCCCTCCATCCTCTGCATTAACTCCCACCCCCTCCCCCTCCTCCGCGGCAAGCGCGTACGCTGCCAAGGTCGTCCAGAACGGTGGTTGGGGGCTGGGGGGCTGGGGGGATGGAGGACGTGGTAGCAGATCCTACCCCAAAGAGACCCCCTCCCGCCCCCACCCTTGCAAGGGGGGTGACCCGTCATGACGACTGGGTACTCCCGAGCCACGTTTAAATAGGGATCATTGACAAAATTGTTACAAATTTGATCCAATTTTGGCTATGTATTTCAAAATACAATCACATGAAGCAGACAAGGTCCTCACAGGGATCTGCGATCCGAGTTCATACACGAACCAAATTCATTCATCCAATAGTCACACAATGGGTTGGCATACATAAAATCACTTCAAGGTAAAAGATACAGTAGATTCAAGGTCATTCACAATCTTTTGTTTCATTCTTATCTCAAGTTTATAAAAATGGGAGTAAAGTTGTATACCTCTTCATTTATTTGAATAGCTTCTGAATGACTAGCTTGTAAATACAAATACAAGACATATTGATACACTTATAAGATCTTACTTACATATATACATGGTAGTATTTTGCTAAAAGCAGTGGAACACCAAACCAACTAAGGTAAACAAGTTCACGATTCATAACCTCAGGAAATGATCTTGATTCATTCCAGACCCCACAAAATCAGTGGCTGATACTGCATTTCCTCGACTAAAGGTAGAATATGGCGACTAGGAACCACATATATTGTCTTTGACTAAGTAGTAATAGCCTCAAGGCAATAAAAATATTTATAAAACTATTATTATTATTGCTATTGCTTCCTGCTTGTTAATTAATAATCCATCAAAGTTCTAATAAATGCTAACTTTTCTACTCGATTAGAGTAGAGAGTTTAAGTCTGATTCACCTTAATATTATAAGTAACAATCAAGAGTCAATTGCATTAAAACTAATACATGTAGCAAGCTGATCCCGATCCAACATTTTAAATTATCTGGACCACGACAGATTACATAGAGCGTTTACATACCAAAAGTTTTATTAATGATTTGCAAGAAAAATGTGTCAAAAATGTACACTGTATTTCTCAAGCATAAGGAATGTTTACAAAGTATACTGATTGTAATTTAAAAAAGAAAAAAGCTTTTATGAAGACATTACATTTCATATTCTATTTATCGATTGAGTAAAGGCCTCATACTATCAAAACAAGCAACAAACTACATGCCAAGCAACATCCTGATATTATTTTTAATACTGAGCTGAAGGCATTGTTATTCAGTAAATGCAAAAGCATACACAAAACAACAATCTTGATTGACTAATACAACGTAGAAACATCAAGACGTTTTACAAAATAAATATTTAAGAAACAGGAAAGTCCTATTTCACTTTCAAAATGGAAGAACAGTTTGGCAGTTGTGACAGTCAAATTGATTTAAAAATTGCTTTGAAAATATCTTTAAAATTGATAAGTAAAACTTTACAACCAGATTACAGCAGAATAGGTATGACCTCACAACATTCCCTCCTAAATTTTATAAAAATTGTTCGATCTAAGTTTGAAAATTGACCTTAAAATAGACAGGATTTATGACAAAATATTGTTTATCATGGTCAACATCACTTAAGGTATTGTGATGTGTAACTGTGTTCTGTTAAATTCATGTTTTCAGGAAAAAGGAGCAATACTATCACAATGTACCACAGTGCGGTTGAAATACTGCAACTGCAAAACTTAAATACTGTGTTTATCTTAGTTTTGCCTCAAAGCAACTACACATGTTGTCATGGAGACTTGAGCTTTGGTTTCAAGAGAAGAATGTAAAGTTACGGCATAACAATCTTTAGGGAGTTCTGAAAATCAATGGTAGGTTCACGTCCACCGGTGGGAGAAAATAAAACCAATATGAATCTTCTCTTTAACACGAAGATCACAACTACGTATCATACTCACAACCAACCATTCTCTAGACAAATAAAATTTAAAATACATTAAAACCTTAATCACAATTTCATATTTGCTTTGGTAAGGGTTCTGTAAAAATATACAAACATACAAAATTTCTAACATAAGAAAATACTAAAGGGAATACAAAGACAGGATTGATATGTCAAAAAAAAAAAAAAAAATCATGGAAAGCAATCAAATTTGATCACAAAATGCAAAGAAAGCGATTCCATTGTTGCACTTCATGCTTACGATTGAAGATTTCCATGACCATTTATGGTAGATCTTTTATCATTTTTGATGAAATAAAAGCTAGTGTGTTCCACCATATGCCTCATGAACAACTTACATGAGCTGTCTGGGTATGGCACAATTTAATTCATGATTTCCACAATGCCCCAACAGGAACAAATATTGATTTGTTTGTATTATAACAAAAGCTCAAACAAATATTGATTTGTTTGTATTATAACAAAAGCTCACTACGATGACAAGTTGTTGGTTGAGCAGTTGTTGCTGACACCTACACTGACAGGAGTAGTCTGAAGTCGAGGGACAGAATAGTTTTCTGTACCTGAACCTGATCCCGCAGAGCCTGTTGATCCTCGACAAGAACCTAAGAAGCCCAGTAAAATTAGCGGTAATCAATTCATTGCACACAAAAAATGAACAAGATAAGAAAGAGCTCATCATTACAAACCTGAGTCAGATCGCTCTGAAGTGTCATGGGAAGCAATAGACTCAACACTGGCTGAAATATTGCTGATGACAGCCTTGGGTGGTATAGGTGGAGGAGCAGTTGTGCTTTGGCTTCGTGGAGACAGGATAGGGGGAGCTATATTCATTGTTTCTTGGTTTAAATCAGTCCTGAAATGATACAAAGACAGTAAGGAAAGGCCCTCATTTTTAGATGAAAAAGTTTCGACTTCAGATTAAGCCAGGTGATGTACAAATTTATTTACAAGTCATGCCAAGTGTTACCTTGAACCCAAGTTATTAGAGGCAGTGCGAGATGTCAAGTCAAAATCTTCATAGGAAAGATTGTTGAAGTGCTGTGCGGATAGGGGAGTGGCAGAGGTGGGTGTAGGTGCTGAGGAGGGTGTGGGAGTTACATCTCCTAAACCAGAGTCATCACCATTGGAAACCCCGTTAGGAGCTCCAGGGGTGACAGGGGTGGTCAAAGGGGTGTTTGTGCTATCCACATATCCATCTGATTCCAGATTTAATTCCATAGATGAACCAGAGTTGAGCATTGATGGTGCTGATCCCTGAACAAATAGAGTCATGTTTTTACACCAAAGTCACCCAGAAACTGAGAAGTAAAGTTAAGAGCAAGAGAACACACAATTGAACAATTGTGTGCACCTACAACATTGCAACATAGACCTACCTTTTTGCTCAAAGGTCGGCGAGGAGGAGCTGGTGGCTGCTGAGGTCCTTCAATGTAGATTCCTCGCTTGTCAGGTGCTGCAATGCAATGTTAGGAACAAGAGTGCCATAAGGAATAAAAAACCATTACAAATTAAAATTTACAAGACAAGAATAATGTTTGATGACTCACTGCAACCTCTCGGTGGCAGTGGAGGAGCTTCTTCCCCACCATTGGGGGTGGTTAGCCCCGTTGGCCCTTCCCATGTAGACAAAACTCCATCAGTTTGTGCAGGGAAGGAATGTCTTGAAGGCAGAGGCTTGGGGCTATCGGGCCGGCTAATGCTCAGAGAGCGTTGATGATTAGGTTTAGGCGGGCGCTGGATTTCGCCATCTAGATATGGCTCCACCCTATGCAATTTAAAAATTCAATGAGATCATTGAACAGAAAATTCCTAGCAATGAAAAATAATCTTCCACTCTACCTTGGCTTCATTGGTGGTAAAGATGAATAGTCTGGTGCCCCTCTTGTGGGTGTCCGTGCTGAGCTTGCTGAAGAGTTTGGTGACGTAAAGCTTGAGCGAGGTCTCAAATCCCTCTGTGGTATTGCTGGGGGTGAAGATGAGAAACCACCATAGTCCTAAGGGGAGGAAAAACATGTTACAACCCGCAAAATGTAAAATAAACCAACAGAAATGTTCAATACTGACCATAGGTTTGGTGTATATATCATCATCGAATTCAGGTCCTTCACCATGATAATCATTGGGAATGAAAATTCCATAAGCACTGCTAAAAGATGTCCGATTGCTAACATCATCAGAAGGAATACGTTTCTCATATGGTAGAGGGGGAAGTGGAGTGCTGTAAATGAAAAAGTGCATAATTAATTAAGAAAGGAATGGAACCAAGCCAATATTTGTATCTTGGGTTGAATTAAGTTGAGTTTAGATAGATCTGAAAACAAAAATTCATCATGCTTACTTCACAATGCTGTGTTGGTACATGCCCCAATGTCTGGGCAAGTTAAGATCAGCACTGAGTTCACGTAAGCTATGCTCTGTATGCATAAGTCTCTCTTGTAGACTCCGTTGCAGAGGCTGCACCTCAGCAGGTGCTAACTGCCCATGTAGAGTTAAAGCCATTGTCAGCACGTGCATCTAAACAACAAGAGAGACCATGGACACAGATTAATAATTATTATTCATAGTAGATGTATATTTTCATGTTCACATTTCAAAGGAGACAGACCTGTTCAAAAATCAACATCTTGAGGGATTTCACATGTTCAGCACTTTCTGGGTGAGCTCTCGCAAAGTCAGTGGTAAAGAAAGCTTGCTGATATTTTGAAATGCCACCCATAACATCGGCAGAAATAATACCCTAAATAAAAAAGTAAATAAATCATGTCATGAAAGTTATGAGAGGCATGAAATGAAAATGTAAGTACTTAAGATCAAACACAAACTGGTATTATTATTAATTCCATACCTGCAATCTCATAGTAAAAGGATTGATGTTACGTTTAGGGTCCTGTTCAAAGAGAGAAATAAGATGACGAAGCTCTTTGTTAGCTGTTTCCATTGTTTCACACGCAAACTGAACAGGTGTGATTTCTTCCACTTTGCGTTCAACAACCTCAAACCATCTCAGTATCCCAGGCAGGGAAGAGGAAATGACCAAAGTTGTGCGTTCTAACCACAAGCTCTGCAAATTAGGAAACAGTTCTATAAGCAAATGATTTGAGCACCAGGAAACCCAATTCTGAAAAATTATGTAAAACTACCTTGAACTCGTTTTCCTTATCTACAGTTCCCTTATGAATAGGTCTATCATACTGGAAACGTTTCACATCATTTACTTCATAGAAGCTCCTGACTTTTTCAGGTAAATCTGATGGAGATACACCTTCAAGCAATTGGTTTTGCTCTGGAATTGGTTTAACATTACATATTTGTATATCTGACAAAAAAAATTAAGGAAAACCTCAAAAAAAGAATAATTTAAATAAAAACAAAACAAGAAGAAATAAATTCTCATTATTGTGCTGAAAAGGATACATTGTCCATCAGAATTCATAATGCTGTCCCCAGGAGGAGTATTCTTTGATAGGGTCTGAGCAGAAGGAAACTCTGTCTGTAATCTTTGTGTGAATGTTATAATTCTTTCATATTCCAATCCTCGATAAACAAAAACTTTGTTCTGAAAAAAAAATGGCACACAAACTTTTAACACAAAACAGTAAAAGATATATTTTGAGAATTGACAATTATAGCAAAAGATTACTTACCCTCACAAACATAGGGAAACCAAGTCCATAAAAACCAACACGGAAATATTCAGGCTCAGGACGAAGTTGAGTCAAAATCTTGTCAAAAAATCTAGCTTGTGTTTTAAGAATATTACTCAACTTTGCATAGTCAAACAACTTTTTTTCATACAATTCTGCAAGTTCTTTGCAGAGAGGGATACCTTTTTCCCAACACTGGAACATTAAAATATTTTAGCAAAACTATTCTAGACACCTAGGGTCTCAAAGTACAATTTTCCATTGACACCTCACCTTGCCCTTATCAAAGTAATCAATCATCTGGTAATAGAGTTGTTGTTTACGGGCACACTCCGACAGCTTTTGACTGGAACACTCAGGATCACCCGTGAGAGGGGTATTGCTCCAAGAAAGCTGATCTGCATACAACTTCATAGTGAAACCTGCCTCCGTAAAGTTTTCAGCAGGATAATGGAGGTCATGGAGCTTATAGATGTATCTTAAATACATCTCTTTACGGTTGATTTCATTTTTATAGAAACTCTGAAATTGAAAACAAACCACAATACATTAATTGTCTGAATTTAGAAAATAAGGATAGGCAGATACAAAACTGCATCTTCTTACCAATAGGTTAACAGTGCAGGACATTCGTTTGTCTCGATTTTCATCGCCTTGCATGACACTTCGATAGTCGAGCAGTCTTTCCAGTAATCGTGTCACAGAACTGATAAAAGCAGTTCCACTTTCCTTCCAGGAAGGATCTTTACTTTGAACTTGTTCAAGTAAACTGGAAAAGCAAAAGAAAGGACACATGTAAGACAATAGAAGTTCATAACAAGATAACTACTTCATAAAATAGAACACCGTAAAATAAATTCAAGCAAAACTCGGGTCAAACGTGGTAACTAGCTACTATATCACAAAATAAAAATCACAGTAAACATGTGCAAAATTAATATTGACCTCCTTTAGCAACAAGATCGAATCAAGCATAGCATACATTGTAAAAACAACTTCTAAAACTACAAATTGGGAACTACTACAAGATAAACAAGACAAACATCTTGAGGAGGTAGCATATATGACCAAGAAACATAGACTTACACTGCACTGAGGTGCTCCCTACATCCCAAGCAGGCACAAATAAAATAGGTAAAAATTAGTTGTTAAAAAATTATATAAAGGTTGAATAATATGAACTTATGAATTAAAAAGAAAGGGAAAGTGCCATTGATTGTCAAATGTATGAACAGTTACTTAAGATAAACATTTGTGCCAATTCCTTTTCATTCTTATAGAATAGTTCTACTCACATTGTATTAAAAAGCTGACGGTATTCATCATCACCTTTGTTCTCACTGACTAGGATATCAAGCTTATCAATGAGTTCTGACTCCACCTATTAGAACAACATTTAAAAGAGTTCAATCATTTTTGCTTGTACTGCAAATGACTAATAATTGAAGGCAAGTAAATGGAGAAACAAACCTGCTTGAAGTTTCCTCGGGCTCTTTGCTCACACTCCATCATATCAAAAAAGATATGCAAAGTAGCCTTGCGCAGTCCAGCTTCTGGGACCAAAGTCACTTTCAAAAATGGCCCAACCATGTGGGGTATGAATTTAATTTTGTGATCTCCCAGTCTGGACCACATGCTTAAAATTTGGTAGCCCATGAAGACTCTCATATCACCATACCTTTCCATCATTTTCTCCCTCTTTACCTCACTGAATTGCTCCAATTGAAGTGAGGGCTGGGTTAGGAATGCTACAGCCAGATCAAAATATTGATTCCACAAATGATTGTCAAAATGACTCAAAAACTTGGTTACCAAGGGTTCTGACAACTCCTTGAGACTACTCAAAATGACTTGATTTGTTGCCATTTTAATCACAAGCCAATCTGAGGGGAAAACCTGTTTATTCACCAAATCTTGAAAGACTAGGAAAACTCGAAGCAGGAAATCCTTGGTTGATTTGTGATCACCAAGCTGCTCCCACAAACGAGTGTAGTGATATTCATCCAACAACTGTAGAAGACCAATGAGACAAGCCACCAGGCTGCCCAGCACTGGAGTTGGACAATCAAGTATGAAGAGAACAGTCTTAATAAGCATGTCAAGGGTGTGAACGCACAGGATTTCAACATCATGATGATGGCAATTATTGACTTTCCCTTGTTCTTGTAGCTGTGCTTGTCTTTGCCGAAACAAGTAGCCCAGAATTTCTCCCAATATTTCTGTGCAAAGACGCAATTCATCTCGATGGTCAAGGTGCATTCGCAGTTGTTGACAACACATTTCAAGTAATTGACTTCGAGTGTCATCGTGCTGGAATAGTGCGCTCGTCACAAGGTTCCTAACTGCTACTAATTTGGCTTGAGTTAGCTGGGGAGGAAGGTCCCGAGTTGGGAGACTTTCTAGCATATTTGATGCTATAATACTAACTTCTGTTACTTGAAGAACCTGCAAGAGAAATACAATGTTGTAATGGGCATTCATCATATAAAATTGTGTACACATTATTACTCTAAAGGCAAAAGGAAGTTATATGAGACTGGCATTGTCACATGATACAATACTGCAACAAGTGACTAAAAGAGCACTTACTTGGGTAAGTTGTTCAAGGACTGCACTGATTGAGTGTAATAGAGCAACCTGTGTGGGAAGAATGACTTCATAGGAGGTAGCAAGCATTTTTGTTAGAGCATTGAATACATGGTACAAATCTCTTCTGAAGCTGTCCTCATACTGCCCTCCTGTTGCTCTTGAGAATAGAAGCCTGGATTCAATTATGAATTTAAAAATGTATTCAAGAGAACCAAAGCACTTTTGCATTGGCTCTTGTTTATCAGTAGAACTAACTCGTTCTGCACAGTGTTGAACACTTGTCATCAAACCTCTGTAAACAGATTTACACATGATGGGCAAAATAATGGCAAAGTCAAAGAGGTAAATAAATAAATAAAATTCAAACAAACTCACTTGTATACTAGTGCAGCAGCAAAGTGACCCTTAATGTAAGCATCCATCACTGGTCTGAAATGCTCAAACCTACTGTCTTCTAAGTGACTAAAAATGCTCACCTGTAGAAACCAATATCAAACCGTGAAATTAAATACACACAACTGTGCCAAGCATACAAGATAAATAAAACAAAAAAATTACCAGAACATGAAATACAAGTCCAGAGTGTGTGGTAGAGTTACCATCTTCAGTGGAAAACATTGAAAATAGTGCATCAAGAACATCTTGAAGAAATTTAACAAGTTCTTCTCCTTTCAATTTAAGAACTCTTGTCAGTGCATCTTGCACACGATCAGGATGTGCAAGTTCCCTCCATTGTAACAGAGAAAGAAGATCAACTGAAAATAAGATTGTTAGAGTCGACTGTTTGTGTGGAGCATACACCAACACACTAAGCATAAGAAAGCATAAAGTCAGCTCACCATTTTGAGTTAATTTTGTGGAACATAAAAGGGTGTTGATGAACACTGTTTCTTTGTGGCTCCTGCCAAAAGAATTAGAGCCGGTTATTCCATCAGCAGTTTCGCGAGCACCAGATGGTAAGGAAAGGTAAACTTGAGGGTCGTTAAGTCTGGACCGATCTTCACACTTGTAGATGTATAACTCGTGAGGGCCATCACATAGTGTGGCACCACCTGCTTCCATCAGACGGGCAAAAGAAAACCCAAAGAGTTTTTTGTTGTCTGCCTTCTCACGAGCTGTGGAGAAAAGGGGGAGTTTTACCAAGTTCAGCAACATGCAACATAAATAAAATAAAATTTGTTGCCCTATGCTTGAGGCAGAGCAGATCCTTACTTGAGCAATGTCGATACTCCAATCGAACATGAGATCCATAAAACTTTTCAATAGGTACAGCCAGACGCACAGTCTCCATCCAAGAAGGGGAGTTGTGGTGGTAGACAATCATAGATTGATATTCAGTTGTTCCATCCATTCCAGATGCACCCCAAAGACATTTCTAGCAAACAAATATTTGAAAAAAATAAATTGTTGTGCATAAAAAAAGTGATAACAATAATAAAGATGAAAAGGCTGCTTACCTCAAGAGGCTTTCCATCAGAATCAAGGACTAGAACTGTCACTTCAATATTTTTTGCAGTTGATTTCCCACCCCTTTCAAATTCACCTCTCTCTAATGTAACATATAAGTCATTCCTAAACAGAAAATAGTTGGTCAATTTTTAAATTTGAGCCATTTTTCATGTGTTGTGTTTCATGTTAGGAAAGAAAATTACCTTATATCTCCTGGCATGATGACATCAGAGAAACCCAGTTTCTTGGTAAGAGAAATATTCTTGAATAGGAGGGGGTTTTCCTCTTGGACTTGTGATAGCTCTCCGTGAAGTAGCTTCAAGGATATGCCAATGCCTACAGAGTTTGAAACACAATATTGTCAGCACAAATGCAAGGTCACCATTTAAATACTATATTTTGAACAATTACCATAATTTGGTTGACCTGACAACAAGCTATACTTGTTGCTTTGCTTGATGATAAGTTCAGGCAGCTGATAGAAGTCTTTTTCGTCACCAGTATATACCTAGAGACCAATTTAACCATGTGTTAATTCAAATCTTCCCCAAATATTTTGCTTTGCAACAAACCATTATTAATATTTCAACATACTTTAATAGTGAACTCTCGTTCTTCCCCAAGAGTAGCAGATGTAGAATTCCACAAGTTGGCACTGAGAGTGTTAGTGGAATACCCTCCACCACCAGCATTGCTCAGAGACCCTCCCATGACATGACTGTGTCCTAATAGTAGCAAGTCACTAATGTTAAGCACAGCAACGCCCATGGGTCTACGAAACAAGTGGTTGGCATTTGCAGAGGTGTGGCTTCCACCAGAACCCCCAGATTTCTTAGAGGATTCAGAATACAACATTTTTCCCACTCGCATGACATGAGCTACTAGGTATATTTCTCTACATAGGTCAGCATTTCCAAGATCCTGAAAATGAGATAGAAAGGAAACATGAAATTAAAACACAAGTCATGAAGCATGAAGCAAACACATGAACCAAACTACTTACAGTGAAAATTGTACAATTGCTGTGAAGTTTCTCCACATAGTTGGAGAAGCCATCCTTGGAAATTTTGACTAGAAACCGTTCGCTGGAAAGGGAGGGAAAGAATCATTAGCAACGAGAACTTAATTTTCAGCAACCATTAATTCTAAAAACTTCAATTTACCTAATATATCTTGACTTTTTTGTGTCAAAGAGTGAAAAGTATATTTCTGTGTCCTCTCCAAAATGATGTCCAAAGTCTCTCATACAGAAGTAAAGGTGATGAGTGAGGACCTTTTTTGTTTCTTTGCGCTTCATAGTACCCCTTGACTGCAAACAATGAGTAAAGAAAATTAACAAACTGACAATTAAAACGTGACTTTACTTTCTCAATAGGTGAGAGAAGTCAACACGTACCGAAGCCTCGCGTGAGTTCTCTGAGCTTTGCGCATGCTAAAAAAGAAAAACAAAGAGATTAAAAGACTTCAGCTTTGCATTTTATTCGAAGCAATGGCAACCATGGTTGTCCCACTCACCACATGGTACAACTCCACCACGCTCATGGTGGCAGGGTCCACCATCTCGGCGCCGCATCTCGGCACCAGGTCCAGGCCCAGCTTCCTGTCAACAGCAACAACGAGGCACAAGAATCAGACGACGGGGTTCAACTGATCACCCGCTGCGCGTAGCGCACCAAGCGCCGGTGGGGCAGGCAGCCTACGCTACGCGCCGCGCGCCGCTGGTGTAGGCAACCCAACCAACGCGCCCTGGAGGAGCGCGTTACGTAAAACGGCAGCCACTGGTCGAGGGGGTGGGTCTAGGTGACTTGCTCAGAGAGGATTGGGTAACAGGTTCGAGCGCTTTTGCCACATTCTACGTCCAATTTGAAATTCCCTGACCATTCATATTCTGACAATGGCCTTTCTGGTCAGCAAGCGAAAAGCAAAAAGCCCGCAGACGGGGCGCGCCTAGGCTAGGCCCTAGCGCCTTCCCTCCAGTGTTGCCTCCGAAGTGCTTGCTGTCTGCCTCGCGCCCCTCCGGAGCGCCCCACGAGAGCGGGAGAGACACAGCGACCATCCCGCTGCACCGGCGCGGTGGCGTGACAGTGGCCGCGCGTAACGCGGCCAACGCGGCCAATGCGGCGTGACGAGGCGTGACGAGGCGTGACAGCGGCGACACGCGGCCGTCACGCCCCGGCGAGTGCCCCGTCGCCCCGTGCGGTCGCGTGCCAAGTGCCAGCAACGCCAACAACGCCGACCACGCCAACGGTCTTGTCGCACAAGGCGCGGGCCAGCCGAACGCGCCGCCCTCGGCCTCGACCTCCTTGACGTCGACGACGTTCCGAGGGCATTAAAACGGGACTGGGGCGCGCAGGGCGCGGGGCGCGGGCCTTGGCGGGCCGATGCAGCCAAATCCATCCATTCGCGCGAGTCTTGGGCTGCACAGTGTAGCGCCGCCGCACCGCACCGCGCAGCGCCGAGCCGCGGCGTAGCAGCGTAGCAGCGTAGCAGGGTCAACGATCCTCCAGCAGGACGACGGAGCGCCACGCTCGCCGTGTGGCGACGGCGCGGGGCGGGGCGGGGCGGGGCGGGGCGGGGCGGGGCGTCGCGGGGCGTAGCGTGCGGAGCCCAGCCAAGGAACCCGGTCCAGGCCGGTCGGGCGGGCTCCGCCGTGGCGTGCTTCGCCAGGCCGAGGAGCTGCTTAGCTTGGCCGCTTATCGGCCGGGAGTCGGGGCACGCCGGCACGCCGCGGTGCCCTCCGCCTCGCCCCGCCCCCGCGCGCCCACGCCCCCGCAGCCCCCGCCTCCCACGCAACCCGCTTTCCAATAAGTCGGGCGACAACTGTTGTGGCTCGCGCCGCGTGCGGCTTCGGGGGCGGGACAAAGGGCAATCGAGTGAGTGGTGCGACCAGTGCCATCGTCGCTCTGTCTCTCTCGCACTCGAGGCTCACTCAGCAGACGTGTGAGAGAGACAGCGACGCAATCAGCCAGCCCCAGCACCGATCTCCACTCGCAAGGCGGCGGCCGGACAGGCAGAACTCCCGCGGCAGTCAAGTTCCCCCAGCGGGCGGGGGAATGGGGAATTCTGATTGGAGGGGAGGGGGAGGGGAGGGGTGCTTGGGGTAGGACTCGCCGTGGAGCGCGGGACGGGACGCGCGGGACGGGACGTACGGGACGTACGAGCTGCAAGGCTGGGAGTGCCCGCGGGCCATGTGGGCCAAGAGCCGGGCATACCACAACAACACATCAATGTGAGTGTGTGTGAGAGAGAGGGTGTGAGTGTGTTTCTGTGCGAGCGAGAGAGCCCGTGTACCAGGTCGGTCCATCATAAAAGCTCCTAAGCGGCAAAGCTAAAGATTCGATCAGCCCGGATTAAAATACATTTCGAGCGCACACCAACGCGTGTCTGTCCGGATGAACAAGACAGCAGTGCTCGGGCGCCGTGGTCAGGTCTTTATGGGAGTCCGCCTGTCACGTCCTGAAGCGAATTGAGAGATCTAAGGCCAAAACGAATAAAAAGCGGAATCAAGGTAAGGAAACGAGAAAAAAATATCACCATTCAAGATAAGAAATGCACGGAATGAGCATGAAAGGTCGTGCTGTACTTCGGCTCGGACGGTTCGTCGCGGTGCCGCCGTGGCGACACTGCGAGGCCTGCCTTATCGGGAGGCGTGAAATGGACTCACCGAAAAAAGGGAAAAAGTGACCACCGCAAACGACCGGAAACGTTATAGTCGTCGTTAGTCGAAACTGTTCGAAACGCCCCGCTTTCAACTGCCTGCCATTTCCTTTCCGGGCCGACTGAGACAGTTTGGTAAATTGACGTGGACGGCCGTGGTGCTGTACCAGTGTACCGCGCCTTCCCACGCGCCACACAGGTACGAGGGGGAGGGGCGCACGGGCACAGCAGAGAGGGCCTTGTCCTGTGCCAACTCTCACGCGGAGCCACGCAGAGACAGTCCGAGCTGAGTCCTTTTCCTTGGCAGCAGCAGCAGGCCCTCACCGTCTCAGCAAGTCGCCAGCATTTCGCGTGCCGCCTCGTCCTGGCGGTCGAATGCAGCATGCACCAACCGGTGCCGGCACATAGTAGTCTCATTCCGAGCAGTGCTTCGTCGCTCCGTCCCTGTCGCACCCCAACGGCACGCCCCGTGAGTGCGAGAGAGAGGGAGAGCCCCGCACCGGCAGGCCGGGCATGACGCATCGATCCGTCGGCATGAGATCATGTGATTTCGTGATGCTGGCCATGCATATTGTTGTGGTTGATGGAGCGGGATCACGCACGCGGTGCGGTATGCGTGCCCCGCCCCGCCCCGCCCCGCGGCCCAAGGCAGGGCGAGGGCCGCGCCCAGCCGAGCCCTTCCAGGCCGGCAGGCACTACGACGCCAACATTCGGCAGGCATGAGCAGGCCGTGCCGCCGAGCCTGGGCCGGCACAGTCGGTTCGTTTGGAACCAGTTTCCAAGTGCAAAGAGCCCTGCTGTGCAGTACGCCGTCGGTACCCAGGGTACCCAGGGTACCCAGGGTGGGCCCCGGACTCGCCGCCCCGCCGCCCCGCCGCCCCGCCGCCCCGCCGCCCCGCCGAGCGCGTCCACGGTCGGACCAGCAGAGCCGGGCAGAGCCGGCCGGGGTGCTGGGCCGTCGACATTTTATAGCGTTTTGTTGAGCGCGGCTGCCTGGCCAGCCTGGCCGCCTCGCGTCGTTTTCTTCTTTCTCCGCCTCAGCACCTCGCTGCCATACCAAGCCGGGCAAGCCGGGCAAGCCGCATGCCGGCCGATGACGCTGCTTCTGCGTCTTCCTTTTTGCCCGTGCTGGAGGCGGCTGGAAGCTCCCTGGACTGCCGTGCACCGGATGGACGCTCTGGACAAAGGCGCAGCGCGGCAGCGCCCAGCGGTGGGCGCAAGTGTAGCAGTGTAGCCCCGGGGCACGTCTCGGCGGCCACCTCGCGGCCACCTCGGTACTCCTGGTGGCCGCCAGAGGCCAGAGGCCAAAGGCACAGTACCTCCGCGCGTCGCCACCCAGAGTGACCCAACTGACGGATGCTGGCGATGCACTCCACTTTCCTGACTGATGGGCGAGCGGCTCCGCCTCCTCCGCGTTGGCCCGGGCGCAAGGCGCTACCGTGCCTGCGCCTTGGCCTGCGCCCACCGCTCACAGACACCTGATTAATCGACCGACGTGGTTCTGTCTCTCTTGCACCCTTGAGGTGCCACCCATGGGTGCGAGAGAGACAGAGCGACGGACCCGCTGCAACAGGGCGGCGCTGCTGAGGCGTGCTGGCAACCCTGCCCCTTGGAGCGCAATCCCTGGCCTGTGAATCCCGGACCAAACCTGAACGACGCGCCGGGCCGGTGCCTCCAGCCGGTACCTCCAGACCGTCCTTTGTCCAGAACCCCTTCCCTTCCCCCTCCCCCTCCCCACTATCCGAGCCGATGGCCGATGGGCTGGCGGGGCTACCGTCCACAATTATCATCATCATGTGTTTGGGACTGCGCCGCCCTGCCCTCCCGGCCCTGCCCCGGCCCGTCCGCCCCCCGCCCCGCCCCGCCCCGCTCGGCTACCGATTCCATTAATGCCATGATATGCGTCACGGCGAAAGCTTCTGTTACACTCACAAAAAGCAGAGCCACAACGACGGGAAAACTCCTCGCCGCCTAAATGGGCATTGCGTCGCCTCTGCCAGGGAGTCATCCCACGGACGCCGGGCGACGCGAGTCACCCGTGACGCCAAAAGTCGCAGAGCCGCGTCCAGAAAGCGCCGAAAACGCCGCTTGGAACTCGAAACGGCAGCCAGCCGAAGAGGCATCCTTTTTTCCAGAGTCCCATCGCCAGAAGCAGTAGCTGCTACCGGCCCGGGCTGGCTCTACATGTCCAGAGCCCCGGGTCCCGTCCCGTCCAAGCTGTCCAGGCCGGACGGCTACCGCTTGTGATTGGACCGCCTCCCTGCATCCTACGTACACGTCGCGCCGCCCGGCCCCGCCCCGCCCCGCCCCGCCCCGCCACGCCCCACAAGATATTAGCTTCGATATTTCAGAGCGGCCGGCCCGGCATTCCGGTAGCCGTGGATGTTGTTGGTATACGGGCTGCTACCGAGCGCGCAGCGCGCGCCGCCCGGCCAGCCGACCCACGCCGAGTGGTTAGGCCCGTCCTAGATGCCGACGTCCGTCGGACGGACGCCAGCGGAGACCCAAACGCACGCGGCATGCGACCCCGAGAGCCCTGCCTCAGCCCCAGCGCGGCCAGCGCGTCGCGCGTCGCCGGAGAGTTCCGGTCGTTCCAGGACGCGTCCCGGAGCCAAGGCGGCCGACGCGGCCGCGCTGGGGCTGGAAGAGCTGGAAGGAGCTTTCGCACCGATGTCGCCGAGATGTATCAACTTCCAGCCGGCAACCTCGTGGAGTCTGGAGAAAGGGGGGAGGAGGGGGAAGACGTTCTGGTCCAGGGGTCCGGCCCCTCCGGCCCGGCTGGAGGGGGCTGAGGGCCCATGGGAGGGCCGGGTTAACCTTGCTCGGTGGACAGAGCAGCGTTGCCAGTGTCACCCGTGCCATGGGCCTCGGCCCGGCTGGCTCTGGAGTCGCTGGAGAGCTAGCAGCGCCAGCAACAGGCGCAGCAGGCATGCCGCCTCCCAG